CTGCGGCAGGGCGTGGGTGAAGATGTCCATCCTCGCCTGCCCGCCCGGGCGAGGGTGGCCCGCCCCGCCCGGAAGGCGGCGCGCGCGCGCGGCGCGTCGCGAGGGGGGGGGGACAAACAGGTGGGGGGGGGGACGCGGGAAGGAGGTGGGAGAGGGAGGGCGAGGGGCGAAGGGGACGAACACTCAGGGGGAGGAGGAGGAGGAGGAGGAGGAGGAGGAGCAGGAGGAGGAGGAGGAGGAGGAGGAGGAGGACGAGGAGAGGAGGAGGAGGAGAAGGAGGAAGAGGAGGGGGAGGGCAGGGGAAGGGGAGGAGGAGGGAAGGACACCAGGGGGGGGGGGGGGGGAAACAGGAGCAGGAAAACGGAGGAACAGGACGGGAAACGAAACAGGGCCGGGAGGTGGAGGGAGAGGGCAGAAAAAAACAGGAGAGAGGGGGGGAGAAAGAGACGAGGAGGAAGAGGAGGATAAGTGATGCGGTGGTGGGCAGCACGGGAAAAAAAAGGCATAAACGCAAGACCGTGAAGGGTACGACCGCGCTCGCACGCAACAGAAACGAAAACAACATAGCGAGCTAGGCGGGGAAGAGCAGGTCGAGCTCATCCTCGGAGTCCTCGCTCCTTCCTTTTGGACGCCCGGAATGGGTACAGAAAAAATGGGTACAATGCCCAACAACAAATGTTGTCCCAAGCCAACAGCGGCCGCTGTTGGGCAGGCGGCCTTCTGTCTCGAATGGACACAGGCCGCGGCGGCGCGGACAGCGAATCCTGTTCAAAATGAACAGGAATTGTTGTTGGGCATTGTACCCATTCTTTCAGTACACATTTCGGGCGTCCAGATCCTCGCTCCTTCCTCCGCCTTTCCTCGGCCGCCCGCCCCGGCTCCACGGCCTCGTCTTGCGCGAGGCCGCGCTCCAGGTCCGCCGCTGGGCTTTCCCGGCAGGACGACGGCGCGGGCGCCCACGCTGGTCTCGGGGGCCCCTGGAAGCCCTGGGACAAGGCGGCGAAAAAAAGGGCCCAGTCCTCCCTGGCCTCGAGGGAGCGGGCTCCAGCGTGAGCCATGGAAGGCTTCGATGGATTCCTGCGGGCAGGGCAGAAACGCCAGATCTAAGCTTGCTTGAATAAGACATCGCATTTTGTCCCCTGGTTGGAGCTCGACTGCCTGCGCTGGTAGCGAAGCTCGTTCGCTTGGACTGCGCGTGGGCCATGCAGCGGCGGCAAAAGCAACGCGACGTAGAATCATGACAGGCCTGGCCGTCCTCTTCATATCTCTACCCCTGCTCCAACAGGTGCCCTCTCGGACGCCACGCGCAGATCCTCGGCGGGACTTCGGGGGCGCCGTGAAACGGCGACCCTGAATGCCCAGGGGGCAGCCAGTGCGAGACCCCCCCCCATCGCCCCCCCCGCGGCCCCCCAACCCCGCGCCGCTCCAGGAGGGGGGGGAAGAGCGGGGTGGCGGGGGGGGAGGGTCGAGCGGTGCGTGGGCGAGCCATTCCAAACCAGAGTGATCGAGCAAGGCCAGGCCCCTGCGCCCTGTCTGCCGGTTCGCGCAATGCCTGGCGAGCCCGCGCGCAGAACCGGCGCGCGCCAGGGCAAAAAACCCGCGCGTTGGTCCAAGACGGAACGACCCAGCCCCTACCTTCGCGAGCCCTTCCGCCTGCGAGCCCCCGAAACGTTGCAAGTCAGTGATCTCCCCATCTGGCGCGCCCTTGCTCGAGGCGCGCGACGTGGTTCTGAAATTCGCAATCCTTCCAGGCGGCCCCGGAACTCAACCCGCCAGCGGGCCCTGGTCCACATCCCGCTGGCAGCCGCCGGGAGGTTCCCGAGACAGCCAGTCGCGGCCGCGCAGCCACGCGCATGGAAACATTCCGACCGAAGACCGCTCTGCGAGACAACATCAGCACCTCGGGGTCCTCCTCGTCTCTGGCCAACTACTCTGGCGCATCGGCTGCGGGGGCGACTCCACGCGAAGCTGCCCGGCGCGCCCTAGAGGCTCTCGCACAACTGCAGACCGCCCTGCAACTCCAAGGCCTGGCAATGACCCCATCGAGCCCCCACCCGCCCGCGACGGCGCCCCCCCACCTGGAACGCAGAGCGGTCCATCCAGAACCCGCTCGGCATGCCCGGCGAATGAGCCCCCGTGAAGTGAAGTGGCGTTCGGGAAAATGGCTCTGCTAGACAACTCACCAGCAGGCTGCGAAAGAAGGTCAAACCCCCAAAAGGAACGCGACAGAGCCGGATCCTTGTTCTTGCGGCGCCATGATGAAAAACGCGCAGCAGGTGAACCTGCGATAGAGCAGCGCGCCGAGCCCATCGTGGCAGAAACAGCGTTCCCGTGGGGTCATTTGAGCTATGCCCAGCACACCAAATAACATTGGTTAGGAGGCGGAGAGAGTTGCCTTGTGTGACTTGGCCCAACTCCCTGACCCCCGACGCCCTAAAACGAGGTAGCGTTGCGACTGGAAGATTGGCGCGCTCCATGCTTCAGCATCAAATTGCTCGCGTCGCCCCCCTGTCGGCAGCGCGTTTCGCGCCGCCGCGGATGAGGGGCGCGAAGAACTTGGACGAGCAAGGATCTACCTGTCACGTCGCCAACAAAAGGCGAGGTCGCCCACCCCCAACCTTCTGTCAAATTCGGGAACTCAACAAAGAAAGCGCCGCCACTGGCTGGCGCGCTTGGCCCCGACGAGCCCTCGGCCTGGGCCTTTGCGACATCCTGGGCACATGGCCCCAGCGCGGGCATTGCGATGGAGCGGGCCCACCAGGCGCCGGCGAACTCCTTGGGCGCCGACTTCACCTACAAGAGGCGGGCCCATGGTCCACAAGCGAGAAGAGGAGCAGAACCTGAAGCCGAGGGGTGCTCCTGCAAGGAGAGGCAGGGCCTCGCGGCGTGGACCCGCATCTCGTGGGGGCTAGCCGAGAGGATTCCCCAGGACGTGGCAACCCCAGATGGCTGTCGCCAGCGCTCCCACACGATGCACTCTGCTAGGTTTTCGCTTTGACCCAACTGGCGCATTGCCGTGCCCGTCTGTCGGGCACCAGCCAGCCGAGCCTGCTGCGCGCCCGCGCGATGGGCCCGACAATCCTATGAATCTCCGCCGAGACATCGACGTGCGCTGACAAGGTTGTCCAGCTCCAATTTCGATTGCGGGGCCTGTGCGAACTGCTGCAGCGTCGAGCGGTCGGGCGGCATTAAGAATGCTTGCCCCGTTTGATGGGCAATTCCGACTCTGCAGCTCCGCGGGGACAATGACGACGCTCCCCGTGGCGTTCTCCGCCGCCGCCCCGGGGCCGCCGATCGCGCGCGCGCGCCCGCCGCGCTGGGCGCCCGACGCGGTGGGATCTCCGACGCTGTCCGCTTCGACAAAATCGATGCCAAAAGCTTCGCGACCCCAGTCGAAGCGCTGCGCCCTGCTGCGGTGGCGCTGGGATAACCAAGGCGACTCGCGCCTCCTGCTGCCCGCCCCGCCCTCCGCGGCGCTCGACGCCAGCCGCGGAGCGCTAGGGGGCGCGACGTCGAGTTGGCAGAGATATGCTCCCTGCCGCGCCTCGACGACTCGCACTCGCCGAACTTGCGGAGGCCGCTAAAATCCGCCGATGCCGCTGGCCCCCGTCGACGCGCACGACGCGACGGCGAGGTGGGCATCCGCCGCCTCGTCGCAACAAGTGGCTGCGCCCTTGCCCCGGAAGACAACCTCGCCCATTGGCGCCCCCCCCCCCCCCCCCCGACTGGGTGAATGCCTGGCGATATCTGCTCCAAGTTCTATCCCAAAAACACAAGCGGCCCCTGGGTCCGCGGGTCTGGCGCCGCCACCTGGCTTCGGAAGAAATGTGCTGATCGTCGCCCAAACGTTCAGTGTTTGGGGTCTCGTTCCGACGTGGAAATTTACGCGGCCGCAAACGAGACCGACCGCCCGGGCATTTCGCCCGCCCCATGGAGATTGCCTCGGCCAAATACAGCGCCCGAAGCAGAGCTCGCGCGCCTCCAACATGCGACTTTCAATGGTCCGCTGTGACATCCAATCGCGCCACCTTTCACATGGGCGCCTCTCCCAAGCTCCCCCGGGAGAGATCATGCATTCTCTCCATTCTTCAGGCGCAGCATTAATCGCCGCCGCTCCGACTAATCCGCGCCCTTTGCCATTCGTTTTCGCCGACAGTTCCCCCGGCCCCTGGGGCCCGCTGCCAGTTTTCCTGGCCCCTGGACTGTCGATGGCATTCTAAGCCCTGAACCGCTCGCTGCCACCTAGGCACTCGCGAGCTCCGACCTCGCCCGCGATGGCTGCCCCGAGCTCCGCCGGGGGGGGGGCCCGGCGCGCAGGGCCGGGGCTACCTACTCGCCTAGCTGCCGCTCCTTCAAGCTGGCAGACTCAGTCAGCGGGTTTGGGGGTGAGCGACTGGAGAGGGCCTGCCGTGCGATGCTGACGTCCAGGCCGACCTGACTTGGAACCGCTGGGTGCACGCGCCGACGCGCATTTCCCATCCCAGTCTCCAAGTCATGTCCTGGCGTCTGTCTCGTCGTGCCCATCAGCGATGGACTTCTCACTATTCACCTGCTTCCCCTTGGCCATGCGAACTCCTGGTGCTCTTCCCAGGAAGACTCTGCGATCTGTCTTGGGATTCTCGGACAGCTGCGCCAGCCATTATTCTGCCGCCCTGAACCATTCTGCCGCCGGCGCCTCCGCAGACTCCGCCAGCCCGTCAAGCTGTCCATCGCGCCTGTATTCAACGGCGGGTGCGTCGGCGTCCTCGCTGCCTCTCCGCTTGGCCCTGTCCGGCCCTAGCCTTCGCCCTGGAAGGGGGGGGGGGGGGGGGCTCCGCCCGCGCTAGGGCCCCCCGCGAATTCCCTGCGGCGCGATCTGCGCGTGGCAGCGAGGAGAGACTAGAGCGCCCAGCCGCGCTGGCGCCTCCGCCCGGACCTGTGAAACCAAGGCATGCCTGCGACGAAGTAGCAAAGATGAAAGCACGCGCAAACTCCAGCCAATCCGCGCTCGACACTTCACTTAAACACCACGTTCCAATCGCCCCCCCCCCCCAACA